GCATTGCACACACACACACACATGCACAGACAAGGTATATATATATATATATATATATATGTGTGTATATACCAACATATATGTGTGTCAAAACATCGTCAACCAGGCCTTCCCAACCAGCCAGGATTTTGGCCTGGCCCCATGCATTGCGCAGCATAGTCACCTCTTCACCATGAGCAAGATGCCAAGGAATTGTAACACCACCTTTGGTGTCCACCTGTCCATTGGGATGGTTGCAACACAGCTACTCATGCAAAGATCAAACCAGTTTGCTTGCACACACATGTGCATACAAAAAGTGAAGCTGAATGTATACAAACAAAAAGCAAAACTATATCGGCACCTTCAAGCTCGAGCAGCTTGAAGGCCACGAGGTTTCACGGGGCACACATTTCGATATGTAAAAGCTTTCACTGTAGAGGACCACACCAACACTTGACTTGTCAGGTCCAGGAGCCGACAAGGTGAAGGACTTCCGATCACCAAGTTTGGGGATCTTCATATCAACACCAGACCCAATAAGTTTCTCATAGGCTTTGTCAGCCTTCAGCTTCCTGATGTCAGGTGGGTCACCTGACTTCCCCTTGCCCTTGCCCTTGCCCTTAGGGCCCTTAGGCTTCTTGGCCACTTCCTCATCCTTCTTTCTTTCCTCACCCTTCTTTTTTTCCTCACCCCCCTTGCCCTTGCGAGTACGTGGTGCCGGCTTCCCAACAGTCTTAGGCAAAACATCAGGTGCACTGCCCCCTGCAGGTTCTGCATCAGGTTGACTCTTTTTTGCCCTGGACCGTTTGGTTGCAACAGGGGCAACAGCTTCAGCACATTCACCTGCAGATTCTTTACGTTTTTTCCTTCCTGGTTTTGCAGCCGGTTTCTCCTTCTCCTCTCGTCGCATTTCAGCTCGAAGGCCAGCTTGTTTGGACACCAGGCTTTCCTGACATGCAAACATATCTGATGATTTCGTCTTGTGTTTTTTTACTTGTGCACTTGACTTGTGCTATACATTTGAATGTTTTCCCATACCCGCCCATTTCAGCCTTAGCATCTTTCGATGATGCTTCACTGCCATCAGCTCCATCATCATGAACTGCAAGTGGCTCCTGGCACTTGCTGGGAACAAAAAACATTATGTTTAACATTTTGCACATACATTTTTTTAAATGTGTGTGTGTGTGTTGCACCAAGTAGGGCCCCTGCCATGCATCCTGGCCACCTCTCAAAAAAACGTCGTATTCTCCGTGAATATGGAACAAAGGCCCTTTCCTTAACAAGCAGCACCAGTTAAACTACAAAAAATGTAATTTTCTGTGCAGCAACTGAATTGAATACAATGCTCCTCGTCTGACTCTTCTGTACCAGCAAAAGGATTAACACCAGGAGGAACATCTGGCACGTCCATGGGTGCTGCTTCAGCTGGATCATATGGTAGTGTCTGCCAAGGTTGAAGCATTCACAATCAGTACAGGACAAGTTGATAAATTACACAGCCAACTTCAGATTTCAGAAATCCAATGTGAAGGGCCTCAAGGTTGTCCGGTGAGACGCTCGAGCTCATAGATTCCTCCTGGGAGACCAAGTCAAAACATCAAACTTGTAAGTGGGTATGTTCTTTGAGTAAGTGCCCCACCCTCTTCATTGCAGCATGCTGTGAACGTACAGGAACCTGCAACTGATGTGAGCCATGTGCAGCCAAGAGTGCATAATAGCTCAACACACACACAAATCATTCGACATTATTTGCTGGTGAAAAATATGGCCTTGGCAGGAGGCAGCATTTCACCTTTGGCCTCAAAGTAGACGTGAATGTGTAAAATCAAACTGTCAAACCTGTCAATTGTTTTGCAATTCTTTGCTATGCTAAGTGCACATAAGGCAAAGACTGCACCATCACGGATCGGTTGTGCACCAGCATCTTCATTGATTTCTTCCTCACAAAGTTGAGTGTTGAACTCAGCGATGCCATCCATATGTATATACAAATTATTGCAAAATGAAGGCCCGCAAGCAAAAAAAGTTGTCACCAGATTCTTCGCCTTCGCCCATAGGATTGCGCCCACTTCCTGCCAAGTATTGCAAACCAAAATCTAGAGGCATGCCATGAAAAACATTGCGCACCACTTGAAGTTTACAACATCATCCTGGCCTGAAAGGCATTCTTCAATTCTTCAGTGGTGTCAGCACCAGGCCCCTAGCATGGCAAGCAAATGCAATGTGATGTTTGAAAAAATAGTGCTGGAAATTGATGATGAGAAAGTGGAAGCCCAAGCCTTTACGTCAACGATGATGGGTTCATCATCCACATCGAGGTCCAAGCCGGGGCCGTTGTCATCCTGGCGAGTGTCCAAGCCTTCAAGTACCAAGTCCCTGTGTGAGTGTGCCAACGTTTAGTTTTGGCATGCAGTCCTGCTCAACCAAAGCTGCAGGGGCATCTTCACTACTGCCCTGGGCAACATTTTCACTGGTGAGTTTCGTGGGCTGTGGGCACCCACATGCCAACAAACAAATTGTAAATCGTTCAAACACAAACACCAACACACACACACACCGCACACACACACACAGATACACACACACACACATGTCAACCAGCTTAGGCCCATCAGTACCCCAAAAGGCCTGGAAGTGAATCACCATCTTCTTCAGTACTCGGATGAAACCACTCCTGGGACATGTGGAATAGTACATGTTTTTTTTTTGCATGCTGTTTGGATCTGTTGTAGGTCTGTTTTCATCGAAAGGAGTTAAAAGAAAATATGATTATATTATATACCAGTATGTCCTCGACTCAGATGTTTTGGACGTGAGCCGAAGGAGATGCGTCATCAAAGCTCTGCATCTGGTGGCCTCAAGGTGCGACCAATCCTGGGCACCAGGAGGGCTGGTAAGATGACTATGCCAATGCCACTGAAACATACTATCATATAGATATAGATCTAAAAATAAGTTTTTGAAACATATGGATTGCTGAAGTCACAATGCAAAGATTGTATATCGATATCTATAAGTTAACATTCAACCCAAGGCACCTTCATTCGGCCTTTTCCACCTCGTTTTTTGTAGAAGCACTGATGGAAGTTGGCAGTCGCTGTCATGTAGATGAACCCTGCCTGAAGTTTGAAGTAGGTGTTGCCAGGTCACGCTGAACTAGCCATGCATGCAAACATGTCCAATCAAGATACTTGGTAGTCTGCCAGTGTTGGGTTTCCCTGGCTCAGATTGTGCCCCATGCCAATCAGCACTTCCTTCAAAAGAAAGTAGTTCCTCTCAATGTCACCGTCATAGACCTTGGGTCCCACACATGATGATTTGAACATCAAGTTTATGAGATCCAAAATATGTTGAACTCTTCTAGATCTATCCCTACAGCTCCAGAACACTTGTCAGAAGGTATCCAGGTTTGAACCTGTCAAGACTTAATAAAGATACAACTCCAATATCTAGACTTGATCTCACACAGCTCTAAAATCTAGACTTGGGTTCACACAATGGGTCTGTGGTCTTCATCTCGGTCCCAGTTCACCATAGCACGTTCCTTGGATGTGTCGGGATAGGTTGAAACAAAAAAGTGAACCATGTCAAACACAAACAGGGCTGTCAGTTGAACATGGTGTTGCACACAGTACTGTACCAGTAAAGTTTCTGGGTCTTCCATGATCAGCGGCTTGCATCTTGTCATATATTGTTGCAACCCATCAAAGATGCAAAGTCCCATAGCCTTGGCTGTGACAATGTTAGTAATTTGATCAAAACCTGTGGATAGATGTTTTATCAATTCTATAATACATTTTCTTTTGATGCATGCATTGTGTTAACACCAGAAAGATGCAGTTGAGAAACACTAATCTTAAACTTCAGAGGGGCTGATACCGACCTCCCTCCTGACCCATCTTCCGTCCACTCCAGCGACATGGCAGGCAAGCGTGTCAATGCTGAGCCAACTGCTGTGGAGGGCTGACCAATTGGGGACCTGGCCAATGATTTCAACATCCAACATTTTCCCAATGTTTAATGTTTCACTGTTCTGCCCACAGGCCCAGGTCAGGCCACCAATCACCAAGACATGACTCACAAAGAAATATCAATAGTTCAATCTTTCAAATTTCCACCATACCCCAACCATGGAAAAAATGCAGGGTAACACTGCACGGAGGGGTGGGGGGCGCACCTTTCAGCGCAGCTGCCCTATGAAGTCCCATGGCAACACCACATACGTAGTTTTAACCATATATATCATATATATGCATTATATAGTTTGCTTACAACATCATGCTATCATCACATAGTTGTTTCACATTCGAAGTGGATGTTTCACCCTCTACCTTATGCCTGATGGAATAAAAGTGCTTTGAACCCTGGTGAAACCATTGGATCATAACCCTAAATGGGCCAAAATGGCCTGACCACGCACCTGGACTGCCAAGTCCTCCCTCAGGCACTTGTAGCCCAAAGTCCTCCCTCAGCAGGTTCAAACCTGGATACCTTCTGACAAGTGTTCTGGAGCTGTAGGGATATATATATATATATATTTATTTATTTACACACCTAGACATACATACGGAACTTTGCAAATAGGGACAGGAAATGCGGTGAAACTATGGGGATTAAGCTGCAGACATAGTTTTGCTATATATATATATACAGTTATGGCAGTTATGGCCATTTATCAGTTATAACTGGTGATAAATGGGATTATACATTCTATAAGTGGGGTTTTGTTAGTACTTATAACTGGTAAAGGGCCATAACTGTAGGGTATTGCAAATACAAACATGTGCGTATTCCTCCTTGATGGTGGTTTCAAGTATTTTTGTTGTTCCCATTCCCACACATGGGATATAGAGGGTTCCCGAGGCGGAGAGACTAAAGATCAACATCGTTGGATGATGGTAAAATTGACCGGAACCTCGGATATTTCAGGGTAAAACGATTTAAAACGTTTGGTTTCCTGTAGATTCTTGATGTTTCCTGTAGATGTTGGGCGGTTGGAGCACGCTGCGACGGAGGAAACTGAATCTCATTACGCCCGGTTGTGATGATTGTGGCACTGCCACTCACGAATCTTGACCGGTACTGTCGGGCCATGGGAACCCTAGTGACGGTGGGGACAGCAACCAACCAAGGGGTGATACGCTCAACTTACAGCTATCATGTAGCATTATACAAATTAATAAACAAGAGAGGATAAACTGAAAATCGATTGGCAGGACATCGTCATCCAGGATTTGGGGCCACTTGGAAGTCAAGGCATATGTCTGAAAATGGATACATGTACACCCCGAAGATGGCATGTCAAACCGGGGACAATGATGATGAACCACTGGGTTTTGAGGTATTTGAAGACAGACCCATATTAGTGGTCCTTTCAACTACCGCTTCTTTCTTGTTTTGGACCCCAGTCTTGAACCCCTGGCATCAGATTGCCGTTCCTTTGTGAAGGCTTTCCATTGTGGCCATGCGTATCCCCAAACTGCTAATGGAACTGCAGACAAACCATATGACATCTGGGTGATGTCTACATTGTCTACACGATATGAAGTGCCCAGGTTTCTTGGTCTTCCATGTTCTCCATGTCACTTGTACCCAGGTAGTGTCACCACCCTTCAACAGGGTTTGCCCAGCATGAGAAAAAGAGCGATTTTTAGTGGGAAAACAACGATTACCGTTGACAAGTTTTATTGGCATAGCAACCCTGAAAAACACATATGCAGTTTGTTTGCGTTGTTTATTTTCTGTTTTTTTTCCTGGGTGCTTTGGATGTGACGTTTGTGATTTTATGATTTTCATATGTTTTTCAGGTTTCCACATTTTCTTCATGTTTTTCCCCACCTATCTCAGGTGAGGGTTGTCAGATTTTATGCCAGCCTGCCCGCCTCCTTTTTCCCTCCTCCTTCCTCCTTCCTTCCTCCCTCCTTCCTTCCTCCTTCCTCTGCTCCTCGCCGCACCCCAACAGCAACCGCAAGCTCCCGATCAGAGTGTTCCCCGCCGGACTTCCACCGCCAGCTCATGATCAGAACCTCCACCGCCAGCTCAGGATCAGAGTGTTCCCCGCCGGACCTCAACCATAAAGAATCTCCCAAGACAATTATACCAGATAGAATGCCAGAAAGAATGTCAGAAGATATGCCAGATACATATGCCAGAATGCATGGCATTTCATGGTGGGGATCGCTCGAAGTAAAGTAATTTGGAGATTTCCTGACCTTACTTCGACGTCATCGACGTGTCGCCATGTCTCGCCGTCACCGCCAAGGAGTGGCTCCATGCTATGGGGATGGCCCATGAACAAAGCCGACCTGATCGTGATCAGTATATTGTGACACGTTGGCATTTTGTTTTCTCAAGGCCACTGCCATATGTATACCCCCTAAATCACCCCCCAGCCATGCTTTCTATAAGAAGGTACTTGGATCCATAGGGATAGATGGTTAAGCCGAACGATGATGAACCCCAGGATTCATAAAGACCAAGTTTATTGATTGTAGGGCTTCGCACACGGGTGATGACCCAAGGGGTGTTGATGTTGCCCAGAATATCACCCATTTGCTCCGTTTTTTTTTGTTGTTGTTGTGGTTGTGGTTGTGATTGTGGTTGTTGTTTTGTGTTGTTTTGTTTTGTGTTGTGTTGTGTGGTGTTGTGTGGTGTTGTGTGTTGTTGTTGGTGTTGTTGTTGTTGGTGTTGTTGTTGTTGTTGTTGGTTTTTGTGTGTTGTTCTGTTTTGTTTTCTTGTTTTGTTTTGTTGTGGTGGTAGTGTGATTGGTGGTGTTGCTTCCGTGCATCTTGCAACCGTCTGACTACACGGTTTTTTTCATTCGTTGAGGAGCCAAAATTGTCAAAGAGTCAAAAATGTTGTGTTTTCATTTTTTTTGAGACTCTCGGAGCAAAAAACACCGAAAATACCGATGTTTTTTGCGCCTCGGAACCCAAAACCACGGCATTTACGGGTAAACCCTGCGAAATTGGGAAGGTGCCAAAAGTCACCTTTTGAAACTATTAAGACAGCAAGGGAATAGGTTTTGTTGTCAAAATCGGGAAGCCCTGCGAAACAGGGCGAAACAGGGAAAGTTCCAAACGTCACCTTTTGAAACTATTTAGGAGGCAAGGGGACAGTCACCAGAGGCCAGAAAGGGCCTTGCATAGCCTTGTTGTCGGCCTTGGAAAACCTTGTGGTCAACCTTGGGAAACCCTGCTTAACGGGGAAAGTGCCAAACGTCACCTTTTGAAGCCATTAAGAACCCAAGGGAACAGTCACCAGGGGGCCAGAAGCATAGCCTTGTTGTCGGCTTTGCTGTCAACCTTGCGAAGCGCTACATAATGATTGGGGAAAATGCCAAATGTCACCTTTTGAAACCATTGAGAAACAACAAAACCGTCACCATGTGAGAAAACAAGGGAGCAGCAACCAAGGAGCCAGAAAAGGTTTTTGTTGTAAACCGTGGAGAACCTTGCGAAACAGCCGTGTGTGGCTGAAGCTTCTCTAGCGCGCTCCCCTCCCGGGTCAGCGGATATAAGAGTATCCCAAAGTGATATTCCCTTTTATAAAAATAGTACCCCCAAATAAGTAAACTATGAGGTCTGTTAATCCTGTGTTGATTTTCTGGTAACCCCAAAATAGAGAGAAATGTCATGTAATGAGAGAGGGATGCCAAGAGGGGCCCATATTTCCACGTAATTGATATGGTTGTTTTTTGATACTTTATGTATATGTATGTTGTTTATATTCATAATATGTTGTTTTTTGAGAGATGTTTCTGTGTTTCATTTCGTTTACTTTGTTCCTGCTACATTCCGAGTTGATGTTATATATATATACATACATATATACTTGGGTTTTGTTTCATCCAGTTCTGTAACGTTTCTGGAGGTGGGGCCCAAATCCTTTGTTCCAAATTGTTCCCCCAATGGTTTTCTGCAAAGCCGTTTGCAACTAGACCCATGGCAAGCAGCAAACTCAATCTCTGCACGGATATATAGATATCTAATTATGTCTATGTGTTAACAATACCTCATGATAAATAAAATAGCAAAAAAAACATATTTGCTAAGGCATGCTCACTTCTGACATCACCATAGATAATTGCCAATGCAATTGTTTGTTTGTACTGACTAGATTGGTGGTGCACAACTGAAGTTTGGACCTTACAACGTCATGGGAGATGCAAGCACTCGCACTTGCACAGAATGTATCAAGGTTTGACAGTTAAAAGCAAGACAGTTTGGGTCTCAACCTATAACTAATATCAGGAATTGCATATGAATGTCATTAAGGATACCCTTGCAGAATGGTGAGGTACGCAATGTTGTATTGATTTGATTCTAACAAAATCTATGAGTGTCCTGATCAAATATGCGTTCAGTTTGAATAGAGGTAGCCTGTAGTTGCCGTAGAACGATCACAACATACACATATTTCCATGGATATGCTTACGTGCTGCCATGGCCAGGAGTTTTAAAATGAATGTTCATCCCCCAAAAGAATGTAGCTATGATCCACAACCATGTAGGTGAAACAAAAATATGGTTGTTTGTTTGAAAGAAGGGGTAGCCGGGTACCCCAAAACCCAATCGGAGTATGTTCCAATGTTCCATATATTTTCTCAGTATTTCAGTGGTCATATTTATAGGTACTCGCCATTTTCAGACATATCCACATATCATGACATTCCAGCCAGTAGAATCCCATCATCTTTCTGAAGAGTTCCTCAGCTCACAACTCTCTGGTACTGATAGGTTTCACTGTTGTTGGGGAGATGATCATCGCTACCCTGGGAGGAAAAAAATATCTATACGTACTAGTGCATAGTACCGTTATATATTTATAATAGGTTATAATAGTATGTACTACAATCACCGAGGAACATCATGTAATTTTATTATCACCATCATAAACCATGTTGTGTTGATCGAATCTGTTTTTTTGGTGCAGATCGCTGTGTTTTATGGGATATACTGTACCCCAAATCACAATGGGCGCACCTTCCAGCAGTGAAGCTTGACTTGGCGATGGAAATTCCATCAGTTCTAGTGTGTAAGACATAGTTCCAAATTGAAGCTAAGCATTAGAATCTTACATTGCCAATCATTGCCAGGTCCGTGGCCAGAGGCTTATCATCGCATTATCTTTTGTGCAGCTTAAGATATTTGATCCTGTCAGTCAACACCCCAAAACATCCGACATCCGACTCAAAAGACGATTCTTTCCTATACATACAGCGCCTTCTACTGTATGTATCCAAATTCCACCACAGGCCTCGGCTTGTGTATTATCAAGTTGTGGTTGTGGATTTGACCGATGAGCGCAGCTCCGATTTTGAACATATGCCCATTTCAAAAGGTTCCCATTTCCATGCTGGTTCTTCTTCGAGGTTCAATATATCGAGCATTTTTCGCCTACTAAAGTACCAGTGAACTACACCAACTTAGCGACAAATCAACTAAATCAACGGTAAATCCACATGTTTGCTAGTGATATTCCCATGTTCCTCCATGTTTTTCCCATTGTTCATGCTTATTTCATCACAAAGAATGGATCTCACAAGTCGTGTTAGGTGATTAGCTGGCAGAACATCAAGAGCGGCATGGACAGCCAATTCGCGATTGACCGCTCAGCAGATCCTCGATCCAGAGGGGGAATTTTCAGACACTGGAATCATTCAATCGGATTTTAATGTAGTTTGATGGGAGTTATATAAATTTTAATGGAATTTAATGGGATTTCGGAATAGGCTATAGTTTTCGTCATTTAGGTTTTGACTATCATGGAAGGATGTATATAATTGACAAAGCATGATTGCTGGGTATTGAAATAGGGGTTATTTACTTACCTACTCTGGCTGGTGGTTTGGAACATGTTTTATTTTCCATAATATATGGGATGTCATCCTGCCCATTGACGAAATTATAGTTAGTAAGGGAATCATTCTCTTTTATGGCCGAACTATTGAGGTTAGTGAAATTGTATAATTTACTCAGAAAACTGTACGTGATTTGCCATTGCCACGTTTGATTACCGGAGGCTATGTAGATCAATTTAAGCGGACATAGCTGTGGTAGTATTCTTGCTTAGCGCCTATACTTCTAGGTCAATGACGACAAATTTGCAATCACCTTGGAATAGATGATACTTTGTCGGGGGTTCACAGTTGTGTTTGTTGGTTTATAATGCGTATAAACGCATTTACCTGTAGATGTATCCTTGACGTTCCAATTTGGATAGATTGGATAGATACCTAGTTGGTTTACCTAGATGCTCCCAAGAAATGTAGCTACCTGGCCATGCTGAGGCGGATCATAGCCCGTAAGCTCGTTCTTGAATATATGTATCTATGTATACATATATATATAATATTATATCGATGCTGCCGGAAATATGGTCCTTTGTTGTTTCTCATTGCTTATCTCTGCGTTTGTAAATGTTTGTAGTGTGTCTTCTTGGCCGATTCTTGGCCATTTAACTTTATTTTCGCTAATTGCGCTGAGGTCATCGATCCAGTCTTGCTAAGATTGTTGCATTTCATCCAGAGATTCATAGACTGAAATTGGGATAAATCGGACGGTCAATCAGCAAAGAATCTTGGGAGTTAGTCAAACAATCGGATTGAACATATTGAACCAAGTAACCTATATAGTGCTGTGACATGTTATTATAGTGGGATACCCTTTGGTAAACATACAAAAAACTACGGAAAATCACCATTGTTCATGGGTAAATCCACTATAAATGGCAATTTTCAATAGCTATGTTTGTTTACCAGAGGATCTGTTTTGTGATATGGTGGGGATATGGCGAGCATCTGAATTTGTCGTATAACAACCTCACTGCGACGTTCGTCCTTGGAATGACGGTTTGTGGCGGTAACCATTCCCAAATGTTCTTACTGATCCTTACTGGTCATGTTGGTGCATTAGTAGCAATTTTCATCAGATCACGGATCTTTGGTGGAGAAAAATCCCCATCTGGTCTATGAATCATATAATTGTTTATTGTGCCGATGATTCATGGATAACATCCGCAGCAGTTTGGAAGGCGCCCGAAACTGATCCATGTCGTTATTGATGAAAGAGAGTTTCGTAATGGTTTAGTAACCCCCAAGATAGAACATGCATGCGAAACCAGATTCTGTAAGTTTTTTTCACTTTTCCACCGTTTTTTCTGGGCGATATCTGGATGAATGTGTATTTTTCCCCTTCACTGGCAGATGGTATTTTAGATTGGCCGTGGGATAGATTTAGGTGTTTTTTTAGGGATGGATGGGTCCATCTGACTTGGGAAATACACATCCATTTGCATCAGTTTCTATGTTTGAAATTTTGAAAGTTCAGATCTGTTCACCACATCGATAAAAAACTATTGGACTTTACCCACATTTAAGCAGTTCCCAAAACCTCTGTCATACGTGGTTCCCGTGTTAGATGAATTAATCTGTAAACTGCTTTAAGCCAGTTAGCATAACCCACTTTCTCTTCATCTAGCATGGATCAGCTCGCTGATTTTTGCTTCATATCCTCATTTTTAGCTTTTCGAAACCCGGGTTCCTGCAATGGGGGCCCACAAGTAGCTAAGTTGGTTTATAACTACAATACCTATGGTTTCTGGTAGTTATAACTATAGTTAGTTGTTTTTTTTGGTATGTTTTTTTGTAAACCGTCTTATAACTAGTATTGCTTTAGTTTTCTACCTTCTATTCTACCATCCAGTCTGCGGTGGAGCTCAGGATGTACACCGACCCTATGATATTCGGTTCCTTGCGCGAAGCCGAAGGACTGGGGGATGTGTTTTTTCCCCACCTGCCAGGTGAGGGTTGTTCGAGTTGTTCGATTTTATCAGAGCTGTTCTTCCGCCTCCTCGTCCTCCTTCTCCTCCGCCTCCTCCTCTTCCTCCTCCTCCAGTTTCTCCTCGACCATGTCTGCATCAACTTCCACGTCCACTTCCGCCTTGCCAACTCTTCGCCAATCTCTTCGCCAACTTCTGCGCGCAGTGGGCACTGCTGGACCTCAACTGCCGGCTTCGGCCTTGCCAACTCGTCGCCAATCTCTTCGCCAACTTCCGCGGGCAGTGGGCACTGCTGGACCTCAACTGCCGGCTTCGGCCTTGCCAACTCTTTGCCAATCTCTTCGCCGACTTCCGCGCGCAGTGGGCACTGCTGGACCTCAACTGCCGGCTTCGGCCTTGCCAACTCGTCGCCAATCTCTTCGCCAACTTCCGCGCGCAGTGGGCACGGCTGGACCTCAACTGCCGGCTTCCGCCTTGCCAACTCTTCGCCAATCTCTTCGCCAACTTCCGCGCGCAGTGGGCACTGCTGGACCTCAACTGCTGGCTTCGGCCTTGCCAACTCGTCGCCAATCTCTTCGCCAACTTCCGCGCGCAGTGGGCACTGCTGGACCTCAACTGCCGGCTTCGGCCTTGCCAACTCGTCGCCAATCTCCTCGCCAACTTCCGCGCGCAGTGGGCACTGCTGGACCTCAACTGCCAGATAGAAAGCCAGAAGATATGCCAGATAGAACGCCAGATAGCCTGTCAGATAGAATGCCAGAAGATGCCAGATAAAGTGCCAGAATGTTTGCCAGATAGAATGCCAGAAGATATGCCAGATAGAATGCCAGAAGATATGCCAGAACCAATGCCAGAAGATATGCCAGATAGAATGCCAGAAGATATGCCAGATAGAATGCCAGAAGATATGCCAGATAAAGTGCCCGAAGATATGCCAGGTAGAATGCCAGAAGGTATGCCAGATAGAATGCCAGAAGATATGTCCAGATAGAATGCCAGAAGATTTGCCAGATAGAATGCCAGAAGACGATATGCCAGATGTCATGGTGGGGATAACTTTGCGAAGTAAAGTATTTTTCATGGGTTTTTAACCAACCAAATGATGGTGATTGTGATTGTTTATGTGGTTTTAAGCAACCAAATGATGGTGATTGTGATTGTTTATGTGGTTTTAAGCAACCAAATGATGGTGATTGTGATTGTTTATGTGGTTTTAAGCAACCAAATGATGGTGATTGTGATTGTTTATGGGTTTTAACCAACCAAATGATGGTGATTGTGATTGTTTATGGGTTTTTAAGCAACCAAATGATTGTGATTGTGATTGTTTACGGGTTTTAACCAACCACATGATGGTGATTCGTGATTGTGACTGTTTATGGGTTTTAACCAACCAAATGATGGTGATTGTGATTGTTTATGGGTTTTAATTTTTAACCAACCAATATGGGTTTTAACCAACCAAATGATTGTGATTGTGATTGTTTGAGGGTTTTAACCAACAAAATGATGGTGATTGTGATTGTTTATTAGTTTTTCACCAACCAAATTGGTGATTTACGGTGCTTGTTTATGGGTTTTTAACCAACCATTTTTTTGATGTCATAGAGATCGTTTATGAAATTCAATGGGATGATGTTTTACCTCCGGTGTCAGTCACATGGCTGGCAAGATCCCTATGTGTAAATATTTTTCCCAGCGAACTAAACCGCCACTGGTTGGTGGTTTGGAACATGTTTTATTTTTTCCATTTATTGGGCATAATAATCCCAACTGACTTTCATATTCTTCAGAGGGGTTGAAACCACCAACCAGGCCATGTATGTTGTTTGATGACCGGAGGGCAAACAAAATTCTAGCAACACCGATTCGGATGTTAGCAATAGCAACACACAAATGAAATTTACAAAAATGGGGATTCTACCACCAAAAACACAGACTCTACCAGCGCAAGTGCAAATGTCAACAAGTGAAACGGGGATCTTGCCTTGCCACTGAAAACTTGGATGGTATGAAGCAACAAAGTATGGGAGTTGACCCTTAAGTGGTTCTTAAAATGTTTGTATAGCCCCTGGTGATGGTTTTCAAAGAAGGAAATCACCATGATAAATCATGATAAATCAGTGGAGTTGGGGGTGCCATATTTCTAGACAAACCCAAATGTGGGCTAGCCAATTTTATGTTTGACCGTCACATTTTAGGCTGGTCATATATTGATCAAACATTGCTAGTTGCCTCCTCGAATCTTGAATTGGTTGATTTCTTGGTTAAGTGCTAAGATCCCATGGTAGCAAAGTCTACCCTCTGATAAACTAACATACCTATGGAAAATCACCATTTTTAATGGGAAAACTCGCTATAAATGACCATTTTCAATAGCTATGTTAGTTTACCCGAGGGTATCTACCCTTTTCTGTTCTGAAGGTGTGCGTTTGTTTGTTTAGTTGGGTAAGGGAACTTTGTTCTGTACATGTTTGTACTGTATCTGGTTTTGTTCACCCCAGCTTGAATGTGTATGGTGCTATCATTCGGCGCATGACGATAGGTAAGTTGGTTTTTAACTATAGGCCCTACGTTAAGTTTTGACTTGTGGTGGAAAAAATTACAGTCGGATGGGTTTATAAATCAACTATAACTCAATTTCCCTATCATATCCCTATTATATCCAGCTTTTAAATTGTATCTTAATGTGTTGTTTGTAACCCCATTTCTTGGGCTAAACCGGACACTCTCCTGCTGGTGTCTCCGCCACTGAGGTCCATCATGCACTACGGTTCGACGGCTTTCACAAATAATGGCCGGCCCACCATTTCTGTCAAAGCGTGGCTTGGTATGCTGGAAGGTTAAGGCTTCGTAAGGCTGTACAGTTATGGCCCAACTAACAGTTATAAAGTTATAAAGTTATGGCCCTATGAGTTGCTAAAGTTATGGCCCAACTAACAATTATTTTAATGGGCTTATATTTATTGAATTTACCTTAGTTACGGATGTTACGGGAGTTATAATTCCATTTATAACTGTTGGGCCATAGCTGGTAAGGTTTTCTCAGGCTGACGGCTGACGAGTCCTCTTGATGTGTCGGCTTTGGCGAATCCAGGTGGAGGTTCATAACTAGGATGGGTAAGGCGTGTTAAGGGTTGTTTTTTAGATACGATGTTTTTTAGTATAGGTAGATCTGTAGCATTCTACACTTGAGCTTTATTAAAATCACTTTATATCTCTTCAGATTCCCACATGGTGCAGATGGGATGATGATATGAGCATAGCGCAAAACTCGAAAGGAGCGTCCCCACCTTCTGGCTTGTGTTAACGGTGGGTTGATAGGCAAATGCTAAAAAAATGCGTGGCTATGAACGGCATGAACTCACAAGTCAACCAACCAACTCGAAACATCTCGAAACTATATAATTATGGCAACCCAAAATCGAGGACACGTCATCTATAACTTCCTGGAACCACGTTTTTTTTTTTGTGATGGATGCTATAGGATATTCCCAGTGGGAGGCATCCTCCTAGGGGCATCAGAGGGGTGACTGTGCCATCGTTGACCTGTAGACTGGAAGTAACCTTGGATAGTGATAATGAGTTACTAAAGTTATGGCCCAACTAACAGTTATTTTCATGGGCTTATAGCTGTATATATATAATTCCATGCATAACTGTTAGTTGTGCCAAAACTGTAGCTGGATATTGAGAAGTGGAAAAGTTAATATGATGGGATACATGAAATCATGATGTCAAAGGACATAGCTGGTTGGGGTTTTACGTATTTTCATTTTTTCAACCATACAGAAGGGACGATTGAGATGACGAGCATATGTTTTGAGTTAGAAACCGCCAAGTCAATATGTTGCTTCCAGAAATCATCTTACCAGCATTTATATATTATTTTAAAGGGGAAGGTAAGTTTGGCCTATGTGAAGGTGAAGAGAAAATAGTTTGTCTCATTAGCCCTCCATAGTGGCTCAAAGTCCCCGGAGATTCGCTAGTAGTTGCATCAGTTGGATACATTGGATACATCATGAATGACTATGCATTGTTTGATATGTATGTGTATCAAATGTATCGAGTAGTAACAAGCTATGCTTAGATATTGTACATATATTATCATATAATCACACACATATATATATAATACGTATCAGCATGACGCACTGTTCAACCAATGGCTCCTGTTTGTTCAATGACTGTTTAACATTATGATCTGATTATTTCTTGTGTCTTTCTTCGTAGTCTCCGAAAAGCTAGAGCAAGAATTAACTGGTAGAACAAGTCGTGTCATTTTTTCTGGGGATTATCTAAGCGAAGATCTTGATTGGACATGTAGATTTACCCACAGTGCTTGCTGTTTGCAATTCGTCGCATGGTTAGCCCAAAAAGGAGTACAGTATAGCTGCCCATACATTTACCACTGGATTTGGATGATTTTCCCCACATGTTCAGGTGCCGAACCCGTAGTCATCCACTACATGTCATGAAAACTGGTTTAATCTGTGAACATCCCCATTTTGGACGTTAGGTCCCAATTTTCCCTAATAATCCCATGTTTTCTATCCTTATCCTTAAGGATTCCAATGGCAGCATGGCTTTACCCATGGGATGCTGAGGCAAGGTTATGCACTCTACACCACCAATCCCAGCGAGTATCGGCGACACGCTAGCTGTTGACCGGGGGCATGGGGGATGTATTAGGTTTATAAAACCTAGTAGATATATGGTTGATATATGTAGATATGGTAGATATATGATATATGTAGAGTTTACCATCTGGTTAATTAACAGTTTGCCATGGAAAATCACAATTTTTAATCGGAAAATCATCTATAAATGGACCATCTATACCATGGCTATGTTAAATAACCAGAGGGTATTAGGTTTATAACTGTGGCCTATGGTAGATATATCTATATAGATCTACATAGTTAGGTAATTGGGTCTAGAAACCACTTATACTAGAGGGCACCACAGTGTACCAAGATTTCTGCAACCAATTGTAGATAGGTAAGCGATAGCCGCAAAGGTGGGGAACTTGGTGATTTCAGCTCTGTATCTACCCAATTCCACCCCAACATATCTGGGGTGTTGGGAGCAACTCCGTTTTACCTGGCAACCCGATTTTGACTGTGATTTGATGTGCTTTGTTTCTTTTTCTATGTGATTTTTGTACAAAAAATATGTTTCGGCATCTGGTAATCACACCATATGGAGGTAATGAGATGCCAACTTTTCAGGGGGGTTGAAACGAACAATCATCAATAATCCAACTTGATGACACAGCAGTTTGGGAATCATGATGCTTCTGAATGCTTCTGAATGTTTCTGAATGCTTGAGACGCATTCGGATTGTGTTTTATGTCTGTGTGCATGGTTTTTTGCGACCTCATAGAAGGGCCAACAGGGGCTACGACTTGGCCGTTGTTACTATTTTTCTTCTGTGCAACCATTGTCTGTACAGAAGTGAAACACTTGGGGAATGCTTCACAAGCCAAAGACAAGATACATATATATATAATCATTTACATAACTATATTTAATATTATGTACTATCATACAGAATTATGTGATATATATATATATTAACACTATATTATACACATGTCGCTAGATATAAGCACGTTGCAACTATAATGTTCATTTCCAGTGTGTTTGGATTTCACGCAACCCTGGACAGTCGCATTGCCCCTGTCCCAGGCGATATCGACCGGGTCAGAGAATGGCCATGAGCGAGCATCATGGCTGCCCTGGCCTGGCGGGTGATGCCAAGTTGTCGTCCAGCAATGGCTAAGTCAAGTTCGGTGGGTAGAAAAAACTCCGAAAACGCTAGTAGTGCTAGTTGATGGTAGATCTTATCGAACTAGTGGAAACTAAACCAACTCACAGAACTGGGTAGCTGGGCACCACCTGGGAAGCCTGGCAATCGAAGATTAGCCATGATACAGTGGATGGTAAATCCAAATCACCAGATAGTAGATGGACATTCACAGTTGGAGGTGCTGCTTGACAGGCATGTCGGCATACGCGTCCCATCGGTACAAGGTGGTGCCCCAATTCGTAGAGGCGCTTGAACAAATGGTAGATGTTTACGGTAGATACGTCGGACTTGTTTGTTTTTGAAGCAACATCACTTGCAGTTATGCCCCAACTAACAGTTTCATTTTTTAAGTTTTTGTTTTCTATAACCTTATTGGTTGGTGGTTTGGAACATTGTTTTTTCCCAAATATTGGGAATGTCATCATCCCAACTGACTAACTCATATTTTTAAGAGGGGTAGGTATACCACCAACCAGCTTAGTTATAGGAATTATAACTCCATTTATATCTGTTGGGCCGCATCCTCAATGATCCCCTGTGGTTCTCGGTGAAATTCAAGTGATTCCCCTGTCGTGATCATCCCCAAGAATAATGCTAATGTGGCTAAAAGAATAGTAAACCATCTCCCAGTCATCACCATTTTTATAGGTTGGTATGTATTCCAGTCCCAGTCATGGGTAGTTTATGACATTGTTTTAACCACATTAAAGTTCCTTTAAATCATCAACCAGCGAAGGTTTTGAAGAATGCTCATATGATGTCTTGATGTTTTGCAGGGTATCTACGATTTCCCCCCAAAAAAAGATCGGCCGTGAATTGGGGACTACTCTAACCGCTAATGCAAGTAGGTTTGTTTGAAAATAGATTACCACCAAAGATATAGTGCATTTCATTTGTCGATCCCATTTCACGCACTAGACAAGAGTGGATCTTTTCAGAGATCCGTCGGGAACTGAGTCCCCTAACATGCACCTAGATTAGTTACGTACGTATATATATATATATTTTTTTGGTGACATTCCAGCTGCGCACGACGGCACCCAGGGACTGTCACTGCAGTGCCCAGCTACAGCCCCACTTAAGGGGTTGCCGTCCAGGGCCACTGCAAGCAGGTACGTTTTCACGGGTCCCGGGGGGTGTCTTCGTTGGCCACAGACCCCCCCGGGACCCCGGTGGCCCCCTGCATTAAAATATATAATATAATTTAATATAATATATTATGATGAATCCGCAAAGTTTTACGTCTGTTCAGACGTTCCACACACACACACACCCTGCCTTCGGCAGGGTGGTGTCCTTGCAATGAGGTGACGATGAGGATGAAAGGGGAATGAAGATGAGATTAGAATGAAAATGAAATGAATGATTACTTAAACGGGACCCGAGGAGGGGAACGCAAAAGAAGAGGGAAGGAGAAAACACACACCAACGCCCCTGGCCCGGAGCGGGCACACCCTGAAAGGGCAAGGAAAAAGAAAAGCGGAGGCCGACGGACACGGAACAAGACCAGCGGAGGGGGGGGAAGGACGGAAGCGCCTGAACCAACCTAACAAAGCGAAAACCTACGCCTACTTCGGCACGCGAAGGACCCGACCTACCTAGGGAGGGAAGAACGCATGAAATAGGGGACCACATGGGGGACTAGTTGATGAACAGAAAAAACAACAAAGATTAAGGGGGACTCAGTTCAATCCTAGAGTGCCGTGCGTTACTCCCAACCGGGACCGTGGTCAAGTCACGCCGCAAGGGCATAAACGGCTGTTCAAGTTCGATGAATTAAGTGCACAAAGGTTGACCTCACCAGAAACCAAAGTGACCACACCTGCAGGAAAAGGACATGCCTGTTGCCTCTGCGACATGTTGCATTGCAAACAGTTTGAACAGCGGCGAGAAGGCAGTTTGTGGTGGTTCGGTACAGCTTCACAAGTAGGGAGAGAGTGCAGATTTCAAAGATTCGCAAAGGACGGCCGGAACAGCGAGACTTCACAAAAAAAGGCTGAAGAACGGTATGGCCGACTGTTTCACTTTACTTGAACGAATTACCAGATTAAAATGTGTAAATCCGGTAGTCAAGTCAGTCCTCAGTCACCCTAAGAAGGGTTGCCTCAATTGGCTCCATGGCACCATGTCGGAGTCACCATGGAAATCACACTAGACAAGAGTGGATCTTTTCAGAGATCCGTCGGGAACTGAGTCCCCTAACATGCACCTAGATTAGTTCCGTACATATATATATATATATATATATGGTGACATCCCAGCTGCGCACGACGGCACCCAGGGACTGTCACTGCAGTGCCCAGCTACAGCCCCACTTAAGGGGTTGCCGTCCAGGGCCACTGCAAGCAGGTACGTTTTCACGGGTCCCGGGGGGTGTCTTCGTTGGCCACCGACCCCGCCGGGACCCCGGCGGCCCCCTGCCTTAAAATATATAATATAATTTAATATAATATATTATGATGAATCCGCAAAGTTTTACGTCTGTTCAGACGTTCCACACACACACACCCAAAGATCATATCATTGGTTAAGCAAATAGTTTTACTTCATGATATCCTCAATACTATATCATCTTTATATCTCTATGGATCCATGGCCACTGACTGAGAAGGTACAGCTAACCCCCTAGTCATCATACCCCAGCCGTACTTCCTAAGCAGGTACCACTGGATCCATAGGAATATATATATATATATATACCTATATACATGTCATTTGATGATTAATTCTTTTCATTGCTGAAAAATCTCTTCAATCCAAGGCAAGATATCGAGCAACTCGCAGATTTGTATGACTGTGTGACACCAAACAACTGCATGTCACAGATTGAGCCTCGGCGATTCTGATTTCACTGTAAGGGCCACACTGGGGGAGACCCCAAACCCTTGGCAGTTTCACACACACACACGCACTATAAACATCTTATATACACATATTTACATATAGTACGTATATGTGAAATTGTGATTGTAGAAAGTCCAATATAGATTGATATAATATATACGTATGCATATACGTATATATATATATATATTTATTTATTTATTTGTTTACATGTCTGTATACATAATATGAATGTTCTAGTATACATCATACATAGTATAAACTATAAACACTTATCCTATATATATATATATACAGAGTTCAGCCCATGATGGGCTAGTTGGAGATGTGTTTCTTTCGTCCAGATTGGTGATTCAAACGCTTGTGCTTCAACCCCATAGGCACAGGGATAACTGATCCAAGTACATTCGAGGTACGGTTGTAAGAAAACATGCACGTTGGCCACCTTTGGGCCAGCAAAACAACCATTGTTTTTTGTTCCTTCCTAACAAGGTGGTGCCCCGTAGTTAGCTAAGTTGGTTTATAACTCCCATAACTATGGTTTATGGCAGATATAACTATAGTTAATGGGGTTTATAAGCCAACTTATAACTGGGGGGCACCATCCTGAAAGTATGCATTTCAATGTATGAAAAGCGCATTTATTTTTGGAAGGAAACATATCCCAATCAAATGACAACAACCTGTTCATGGCGTGTTTACCCATTTGAAAGAGTTGCTCAAATAAACATGATCCACCCACGTTGGATGGACAATATTCAGAATCACCAACCAACCTTTGTGCCATCTCCGATGAGAAACTTACAGGCGCCCCCAACCTTAGCCAAGTTTGTTTAGTTCACGGTTGGTCTCCTGAGGTTTGTGGTGGATATGTAGATTTTTATATCAGGTTACATCGACATATATCTATAATTGGACGGGTTACCCTCCGATAAACACACATAACTATTGAAAATCACCATTTTCAATGGATAATTCCACTATAAATGGGCCATGTTTAATAGCTTTTTGTATGTTTACCAGAGG